CCCAGGCACCCCAAATTGCCCCCCCCCCCCCATCCCAAAGCCCCCCAAGCTGCCTCCCCACGGGGGGACACAGCAGGGTCCGGGCCCCACGGCGAGAGGGGCTCTGCCCCCCGAGAGGCAGAGGACAGAGCCCCATGGGGAGGAAGGCTCCTTCCCCCAGACCTTCACACACACACGCGGACACGGGCTCTGTAAATACATTTCATTTTTTAATTTGGACGCTGATAGCTCTGCAAAATACTTCTTCCAGTCCCTTTTCCATATTCCATCCATAAATATACGAATTCTTAGGCCAACTTTAAAATAATAATAATAAAAAAAAAATCACAACCTTTTCAGAAGACTCCGATACCCCGTTTCTGACTTCCTCTCCCCAGTCTCACCTGGTTCGTTACCTCTCACCACAATGCAATGCACTTAACAGCTCTGTAGCTTATCAAACGATTCGAAGAAAAATAAAATAAAAATAAAATAAATCAAGGCTTTAGAGAAGGAAAGTCCTGAACACAGAGAGCCCCTTCAGCTGTTACAACCGGTGGTTTTGCCTCAAGACCTGCTATGAACGCACGACACTCGCCCTGCAAAGAGGCATCAGCCGAAACGCGTTCCGAGCTGGTCGGAATGAGACGGGCACAGGGAGGGGAAGGGGCTCCCTGCCGCCCCTCTCGCAAAATATCAAGTCTCAGAGAAAAACTTCAGGGGAATTTTGGGACAGATACAGGTTTTAAATAACCCCGGGATTCCTCCCAGGCCGGTTTCTCGTGAGCGCGGCGGCGCTCCAGCTAAGCTGCGGTCCGACTGTATCGCCAGCACCGTGACAGCCCCGGCGAGCGGAGCGGCGGGGGGGGGCCCAACGGGGGGGAACCGCGGGGGTTATCCACACCGGGAAGCGTCCTGGAACCCGCTCCCTTCAAAGAGCAACATGGGCTCCAAAAACAGGACATCTCCCAGGACCACGCGGTAAGCACCTTTCTCCAAAGGGCTGCAGCTTCCATGAGGGGAGCGGAGTAAAACGGGAATCTTTTCCCTTTTTCCAAGTTTCCAAACCACTCTCTTCCGGCTGCTCTGCCCTCACGCCGGCCCTAGAGGAGCCTCTCGCCCTGCGCCTGCTCTGGAGCCCTCTCCCACTCGCTGCTGCTCTGCAAACCTGCCTGTGAGCACCACAGCGCCGGCCCACGCTCCGGAGGGCATCGCCCCGTGCCGAGCGGCTCCCGCTCCGCTTGTTCTGGGAAAAGGATTCACCTGCAACGAGGAGCACGCAGGAGGAGAGCGCTGTCAATACTGCATCATCCGGCGACACCGGCCCAGTCTCCAGCAATACACGCGGGATATCTACCGGAATACACGGAACGGGCTCACCGAGACCGGAATACTTCCGCGTTAAGGCTTAAACTAGCAACTCGGCTGCTGCGATAGGCCGGACAGACACACTGCAAAAAGGAAGAGAGTTAGTTAAAAGAAAACCCAAACCACCTCAGCGCTAGGTACGCGGAGGGCTCTGCTTTGCTCTCACTGGCAGCAAAGCAGTTCTCAGAACCTGCCTGCTCGGCGCGCGACACCGGCCTGCTTTAAGGGGGTTGCTTTTAACAGCAAAAAAAAGGAGAAAAAAAAAGAGAAAATGCAATCTAAACTCTCACAGAAGCCCTGCAGGTGTGACTGTGACGTTAAATATACAACTGAGGCCAACTGCTAAAATGACTTTTTAAAAAACTGCACGCGCATACACACACACACTTTGGCACACAAGCCTTAAGTTATATCACTTGAAACGTTTCAAAGTCAGAGGAGAGCTGCTTTTTTGTTGATTTTTCTTTTTTTTTCCCTCTTTTCTGCCTTGTAAAAAGGTATCAAGCAGTGGTGTTGGTGTAGCATGAAGGGTAAGTGCAAATGCTGAGCAGTTCTAGAGCTGTCTGCAGGGCTGTTCAGCACTGGCACTCCCGTTACTTTCCCAAAGCGCTAGCTGATTACATACACATATATAAAAACTAATGCAGACATTCCCTGTTTTCAATGTGAAAACAGGGAAATGTAATCGAGTAATTGTGCATTTGCCATAGGGTCCTTGGGAAAAGGAACCATAAAAATATTTTTTTTTTAATAAAAGGTTTTTTGGGGTTTTTTGTTTGTTTGTTTTTACCCTTAACTTAAGTAAAGAGCAAATATACATCTATAAGCAGAGTTCAGATCCACTTTACTGAGAGCCTGGAAGTCCATATAACAAATTAATTCCCAATGGCATACCGAGACACCGGAACAGCTCCCAGCTCCGAAGGGCCGGCGTTCCTGAGGGATCTGCAGCTCTGGATAACCTGGCTGCGAAGCGGGGGTTCGTCCCAGCCTCGTCTGTCCCAGCCAACGCTCCCCCTGCGGCACCGACACGGCACCGTGCCCGGCTCCGGAGCCGCAGAGCTGGCCATGGGGGCAACAAACCTCAGTCCTGGCAACTTCAACCCATACCAAGCTGTAACAATGAAAATATAAGTTCCAAACTTATATTTTCTCATTACTCAAAGACCACTGATTCCAGCTACTGAGAAACAGCTTCCGGAGGAGGGCCAGGAGGAATTTCAGTGATAGAGAAACTAGCTGTGCAATAAGAAAGTGCATTTAAAGGTAGCTTAAAACCAGATTAAAGATCAAATCGCCACTCGACAGGAGGGAGAATCAAGCTCCAGCAGCCCCGCTCCTTGGGCTGGATGGGTAACGTCCAGGCTCTCTCTGGCGAGTCCGAGGGCAGGAGAGACGCGCGCATTCCCGTGCTCCGACAGGGACACAGTTCTCCCGGCGGGCCGTGCTCTCCTGCCCGGGTTGCTTCCGTGCGGCAGCAGCTCTGGACAGCTGTCATCGGAATTCATAGATAGGAGCACTGTGCTCAGGAACATGAGTTAAATTCAATGACTGATACCTGGGAGAGAGGAAGGAGACGGAGGATTACATGGAAATGGCCTTCTCCACGTGAGGCCTTGTCTAGAACTATGGCTCCTGCCTGACAGGTCACTGACATCCAGATACCCGTTTTTCCTCTTGCCCTTTAGGGCCAAAGTCCCAAAGTTACTTAGGCACCCAACGCTCATGCACTAGCGTTGCCAAAAAGGCAGGATGCCTTAGCATTGCTTCACATTCCCGTTCCCATGCCCCCTGCTCCTGGCAGCCACGCTATCATTTTAGGACACCTCTTGAAGTTTAATAACTTTGATGATCAAAAGGTGTTTGACACAGCTGAAAACTGTGCTCGCATCTTGCAAAGCTCAGCTCAAGGGGCTTTGTCTGAGAGCCTCCCAGGTATCTTCCCTCCCCCCGAGGGCTTCCAGCCTCCCTACAGATCTGCCTGCTGCGTGACAAATCCCGCTATTCCATGCCCAGCATGGGGAAGAGAGCTCTCCGGAGCCACCAGACAGGTCAGGCCATCACCCTGCCAGGCCACAGCAATTGCAGCCCCTGCAGCTCCTCTGCACTACGCTGCCAGCTGGATCGGCCACGCCAGTGGGCAGCATTTTACACCATACCAAGGGGCTGCACTGGCTGCTGTGGCCAAAGGCAACGCAGGTGCCAGGCTCGAGCTGCACAGCTGAAGCTCTTCCCAGCACAGGGAAGGGCTGTGTGGGCCCTCCCGAGCAAGGAAGCCTCCTTACCATTCTGAACTCCTATGGTAGTAATAGCCCTCTATAGACGCTGCTGACTTCTGGAAACAGATGTAATAGAAACCAGCAAAGGAAGCACCACTGATGTCTTTGATAGTGTGATCTGGAACTAGGAACTGTTCCTGCACACAAAACACAGAGTGCGTTTACAAAGGCCGGTCAAACACTTCCCTCCCACCCAGCCCCCAGCAATGAGCCCTCCCAGACTGAATATTGGCACACATTAAAGTAAAGGGGGTCCTGACTGAGTATTCCCTGCATTTGCAGCAGCCCAAGTCACAGCTACCAGCATGGTTTCTCACTCTATGACACCATAGGCATCTTACAGGAAAGCAGAAGCAGTTGGAACTAGCTCATAGGATCGGTTTCAGTTCAACATCTGCCCCTTCCAAAGCAGAGGCCAATTGCAAAAATCAAAAATCAGAGCTGCCCAATTTCCTCTCCTTCCTGTGGTAAGAGCAGTAGGTTAAAAGGTTCATAGGATAAGAGCTTTCAACAAATCAGCAGTAGCAGTTAAAAGAGAGAAGCTTGCAGGCACCACAAGCCTCTGCCAGTCACTCGTAAGCAGCTCATCAGGGAGGGAGACATGCAGAGTTTACCTTCCATCTCATGAAGACATAGTCACCATTTTTCAGATCCTCATAATCAAAGTCATCAGAGTTAAATGTTTTTGCATACTGGTAAAAAGCCTGGAACTTTCCCTAAAACAACGAGGGAAAAGAAAAAAAAAAATAAGAGTTAAGATGCTTATTCCAGGAGCAAAGCTCGCTAGCACTAGTCTGCAGCTTCCCTGGTGCACAGCTAACCATGCACTCCAGGACAAGCACTGGGGAGCACAGGGCACTGCCAGACACCTGCAGCCATAGTCAGCCCTGCTGGAGAAGCCCCTGACACTTCCAGGGCAAAATATTTTGAGGGAAAAGTAACAAACACCAAGGTTTGACAAACAGCAGCAAAGATCAAAACAACCAGCTTGCTCCTGGGATCCCGGTGCAGGACACAGCAGCCTGCACAGCTAACCATGCACTCCAGGACAAGCACTGGGGAGCACAGGGCACTGCCAGACACCTGCAGCCATAGTCAGCCCTGCTGGAGAAGCCCCTGACACTCCCAGGGCAAAATATGTTGAGGGAAAAGTAACAAACACCAAAGTTTGGCAAACAGCAGCAAAGATCAAGACAATCAGCTGGCTCCCTGGGCCGCAGCGCAGGACACAGCAGCTGACAAGCACTTTCTGAAAAAGGAGCTGCAGCACCTTAGCTGTGACACAGGCAGCAGCTCCCCCAGCCCTGTGTTGGGGGACACCTCTCCCCTTCACTTAATTTTGCTACAAAGCTTCAAAAGGGGAGAGAAGAGTCTCCCAAAGGAGTTTTCCAGGGCCCCTCGCATGAGCGAGCTCTGCACATCACCAGCTGCTTGGCGAGCACCAAACCAGACCCACTGCTGCTTCCCTTCCCATCCCTCCCCACCAACTGACTTACCCAGTGTTTACGATCCACATCCTCGTCCGCATCCCACTTGCGTGTTAGGAAAGGGTGCTTTTTACTGATTATTTCGCCTTCAAAGAACGTGGTCAGGGTTGGGTACTCCTAGGAGGCAGGAAAGACACAGGAGAGTTAAAGTTTGTCACCCAGAGACAGAAACTCGCAGATGGAGGTGCACAGACCTGGCAAAAAGCAGCATCTTGCAGCAAAACCGCAAGGCAATCGGAGGCTGGGGCTCCCACCGAGCTGTCCCATCCCAGCCCTTTATAAACCTGGCTTGTACAAGCCCTCCTCCACCCCCTCGCTCCAGCTGCCTTTTTCCCTGCTCCCTGTGAATTCAGGAGGAGCAGGTTGGAGCTGCACAGCTGGAAAGCTCTCAGCTGGACGACCATGGGTGACTGTTTGGAGGCAGCTCTGCTCCTCAGCAGACACGCAGCAATTAGCCATGTTTTGTACAACCACAAAGCTTGAAGGCTTCATTAGGCCTTCGGTGAGAAGGTGCTCTGAGTAACCCCTTTGCACTTGCAGTGGTTTAGGGGTTTGCACACAGGAATATCAGGCTCAGCTGAGGGGAATGAGCTTTTCCAAGCGCTTGGTGGTAATTTCTGCAGAGACACGCAGTGCACTGGAGGCCCAGACTTGCAAATGGGCAGAATGATGACCCCTTAGGCCAGTGCTCACACTGTCCAACCCAAGGAGATCTCAGTGGATGGCACAAAAGGAAGCACATAAAGATCTCACTTGTTTGTTTTGTTCCCTTTCAGCAACACACCGCCCCGGTAGAGTATCTAAAAAGGACTTCAAGGTCAGATTCTGTTGCACTCAGAGCTTAAGGGATGACATAAACTTTCCTCATTCTCTCGGGACTCCCACCAAGGTTTATCACATTGCTTTATCTTCCAGGAACACAACACTGAAGCAATTAGACTACCTAATGGTCAAGTTTAATGTACACTTGATCCCTCCAGCCTCGATTTCTGGTGGTAACCTCTTCTCCTACCAGGAAAACAGAAAGCTTTGAAACATCTTTTCTTATTCTTTTGCCATAAGCACTTACCTCTGTAAGGCCTTTAATCTTTAAGTATCCACAGAGATAGGAGTTTTCCATGTCCACATGCTAGAAGAGAGAGGGAATTCCTACCATAAGCATGGGCAGAAAGACACCCAATTGATCCAAAGCCAGTTGGTCCAAGTGTGAATCCACAGGATTCTCATCCTGGTGATGCTCCCCACCGCTCAGGCCTGCCTGGACGGGTACCGTGTGTCCAGCTCACACCCAGGGCTCACACTGACACTTCCCAAGTAGGAATTGCTGCTATTCAGACTGCCCTTCAGGCAAGAGATTTCCCAAACTTTTTCCCCCCAGATCAGTTCTCAAAGCAAGAACCGAGTTATTTAGGTGTGCACCAACTGTGGACCTTCCCCACGTGTGGTCAAAGGAAAATGACATCCCTCCACGCTCAGGAGAGGAAGAGCAGCCTCCTCTTCCCAGCTGACACACACGGAACAGCAGCAACTTCAGTGCCCAGCACCGGCGGGTCCCTGGAGCAGGCAGCGTGCAGTGAGGCTGGCCAGCCATGGGATGTCACCAGCAGAGCAAGCTGCACCAGGGACGCTTGTGCTGTTGACAAGTGCAGGGCCACGTGTGGACACGGCCAGGGGGGTTTAAACGCTGCCCTGACTGCCGGCCGTGGGACACTCATGTTGCTCTGCGCCCCAACCCGTGTGTCCTCTTCCTCACTGCACTTGTCACAGGGTCCCCCAGGTCCCATGTCACCAAGCTGGGAGCGAAGCGGTGACCCGCAGGGCGCTTTGTAGGGAACGTCTTTATAACAAACAGCTGCCTGTTCATGAGAGAGCCCACACACTGCCAGCGCTACCCAAGCGATTGCACCAGCGCCTAGGACTGAAAATACAGCACGGGAAGAGAGGATGACCCGCAGAGGAAGGGGGAAACCACCGCGGGCAACAGCCCGACAGCTCTCCCTGCTAGGGCCAAACCGCGGGGCTTCGCTCCGGGCTCCCTGCTCAGCCTGGGGCACCGCAGGGATGATGGATCCCTGGGATCCTGGGTCCAGCAGGGCCCCGTGATGCCAGCCCGGACCTGGATCTCTGCTGCTTTCCAGCCAGGCCTGAAATACAGGCTGCCCCGGCGGTGGTGACGCCTCGGACGCCGCCCGGGCCGAGCTGGGCTCCTGCCCTCCCTCTGGGGGGCCAGGGCTCGAGGGGGACACGGGAGGGACAGAGCCCAGGGCTCCCCTGCGGGAGGTGGAGGAGGCAGCTGCAGAGAGGGGTGGAGGGGAAACTGAACGGGGGAAAGTAGCAGGGGAGTCAAAAAGGTGAAGGAGGGGAATGGACCCATCATCAACGGGACAACGGTGGGAGGAGAACAAACCCGAGACCAACAGGGCAGAGGAGCAGGTGTGAGAGCAAGAGGGCCAGGTGTGTGTGGAGGGTGAGCAGAGAATAAACCCTAGAGCAATGGGGCTGGGGGACACGGCCAGACCTAAGGGCAATGGGGAAAACGAGGGGGGTGGGACACAACAGGCCAGGGGACAGCGGAGCAAAAGGTGCGAGTGACTGAGGGCAGAGGGGTGGCCAGGCCCGGGGGCAGCTGAGTGGGGATAGGCCGTGGTGCACCGGGCCCTGCCCGCGGCCCAGGCACCGGCAGCGCTGCCCGAGGCCTCCCGGGGG